CGGTAAAATTTGTATTCGAACTGGATACTAGAAATCAATTCGGCAGTAGAAAATTAATAAATTTCCAAGATTTTGGAATTAATTCATGCACATTGATAGCTGCATAGCAAACTTAAAATTATAGTTAACATTCTTATGCAATGTTTAATTTTATAATTAATACTTACATTAGCGATAGATTTTGTACTTCCTGTAGTAGATAAGATTCCTATAGAAAAGTGTTTTTCTTGCATAATATTCTTATTATTTTGTCATAAATACCTACTAGCATAGGAAAGCGTAAAAAATAAATTTTTTTATTAAGAAATTCTGTTTACAATGGTTTATTTACAATGTTTTCATATACGAAAAATGAACATAAAATAAAAATCAATTGAAAAGAACTACCACTTATGGACGGGAATCGAACCTCGGTCTTTTAGCATAGATATTCTCAACTGTTATCGACAGGCCACGACTTCACTCGTAGGCATGCAGAAATAAATCTATAATAGGTAGATCAATAAAACTTTAATCATAAATATCTCAATAATTATCGAGTAGTTGCCGCTATAATGATATATTTTCTTAAACTGCATGACGATATCTACAAACCTGCAAAGTTTCAACTAAATCGGCGACCCGAAGAACCGGTAGTAATTGAGTTTTCAGAAAGATATTTTTGATCATGATTGTACGATATATGCCATGTCATGGTTGATTGTGATGTTACATTCAAATAAATTGCTATTTCATCATTTATTTTATAATTCGCAGAATTGAACTATCAAGTTACATCCGGACTGTGAAAATTAATAATTTGTCATTAAATTAACAAATAATAATAACAATTTAACTCTAAAGTTATCATTAATATACGAAGTATACCATTTTACATAAGTTAATTGATTGTCATAATATATAATATATATGATACGTAAACGCAATATTTAATATTCTTTTTTTTGTTTTAATATCTCTTAACTATTTACTTTTTTAATTTTTTCTTATATAAAGAATAATAAAACTGATATCTTCACACACACACACACACGCGCGCGCGCGCGCGCGCACACACACACACACACATACACACATATATATATATAATATTTTGAATAATGAATTTTATTTCACACATACAGTGCTTATACCTGTGTAATACTTTGTACTTCGAATATACAATACTATAGATACATACTTGATGTATAGTTTTAATTTTTGTGCAGCTACGTAATCTGTCGGTGTAAAGTAGAAATTAAAAGAATTTGATTGCATCTTCGATAATAATGTAGATAATAATGTTGATAATAGTTTTGTTTGCTATAAATGAACATTCATTTGCGTATAAAAAACAGTCAAGTTTCTGATATAAATTACAAATGTCCAATATAATTTTCGCGGGATTCTCATAACTTGAAATTCCTTTCTGTTGTTCAGATCGAAAGTTTTAATTGGTTATTAAGTTACCATTTTAATGATATCTTTTATAAATTAGTGCGCAAAGAATGATTAAAGTTATTACAATATAAAATGTAAGCGTTAATAATAAATATTTGCATTCGTTATGGTTAGTGATCGTTTACATTATTTGTTTACATCCTCGAATCACTCTTACTATGAGATTTAAAGAAAAATATATTGCATTTAATTTGCAGAAAGGATGAGAAAACAATGATGCACATAAATAACTAAATAAAGGAATGTCTATTAAAGGATAAAAAGTTAAGAAGTAGAACAACTAAATAAAATTGAAGTTACACTGAAATATAATTTCAAGAATTTAGAAGCAACGTAAAGATGTCTACTTCGAATTTGAAGAATTGGCCAATTTTTAGTTTCTTAGATTCAGACTTTATTTCAAATATCCATATGGTATTCGTATATGGTAAAATATTTATTTTTAATTTTACTTCCATTCTTATTAATTATTGTGCATCTTATTACAAAGGGTTATATACATGTTTCATTAAACAGGTGATTTAGGTAATGAAGCTTTAATTGTAACTAAGGATAAAATGGTATATGCTCTGGGAAATAACACTTCCGGATGTCTTGGAATCGGTGACACTAATAGTACTCTTTATCCGAGGAAAGTTGAGGAATTATGTAATCAAAATGTAACAATGTTTACGCATGGTATAGGTCCGTATGTTTTGGCCCTTACTGAGGAAGGAAAGGTATTTAAGCATGATGTAAAATATGCAATTGTTTCACACAAAGAATATCAACTCACTGTTCCATTATTTAATAATATAAATGTATGTATGAAAGGTATATTCATGGGGATGCAATGCTCGCAATCAACTTGGAAACAGTTCTACAGATCCATGTTTGCGGCCAACATGTGTAACAAAAAATATATCTTGCAAATTTATTGTCAGTATAGCCTGTGGATCTCGTCATTCTCTTGTACTATCATCTGATGGAAATGTATAATGAAAATCACTAGATATTTTATTTTTTGTTTTATCATAATGGAATATGAAAATAATGTATTTCTTTAAGGTATTTGCATGGGGTGAAAATACATATGGACAAGTAGGTAACGGTGATACTACTAATGTAACTGTGTGTACACCGAAAATGGTGAATAATGTATTAAGCAGTAAAAGAGTTGTTTGCATTAGTTGTTGTCACTTATCAAGCGTAGCAGTTACAGATAAAGGAGAGGTTTATAGTTGGGGTCAAAACAATGTTGGCCAGCTAGGAAATGGAAACACTATTAATGGATATGTTCCCAGCAAAGTTGCTGGACTTGCTGGTGTTGAAATTGGTAATATTATTTTCGCTTTATATATATATATAAATAGAAAATTTGTCAGATACTGAGGAATATCTTTTTATATCAATAGAAAAGGTAGTTTGCGGTTGTCTGCATGTTCTGGCTTTGAGTAACAAAGGCGTTTTGTATGTTTGGGGTGAAAATTGTTTTGGACAATTGGGTATTGGCAACAATATCTCTATTTGTAGTCCAAAGAAGGTAATATACCGCATAATTAAATACATATACTTATGAGTGTGAAGCGATAAATGCTTGTTCAGTTGATAGTGAAAGATTGGGCGAATGTATTGGATATAGCAGCTTCGCATTGTAGTCACATGAGCGCAGCTATGGTGGAAGGTAGTGAGATATATGTGTGGGGCGAATGTCTGGGTCAGAGGATTACAGTTCCAACATTGACTAATTTACGATACTTACATGACGCTTTTGCGCGTTATGCGTTAGATAACATTATGCCTCAACCACTTGTATACGACGGTTACCAAGAGGATGTAAATGTAATAGATTGTTTCAGAGAAGCATTTGATGATAATGTATGTATTTATACAATGAAGAAATATCTTTCGTGATATCATTAACTTGTTTGCTAAAAATGTACTCTACGTTTCGTAGACTACAAGTGATCTCGTCATAGAAGTACAAGAGCAATGTATTTATGTACACAAAGCTGTTTTAATAATACGTTGTGAATACTTTCGAAAGAACTTGATCGCAAATAATCAGAGGTAAGTAGATTGTTGATAGTAATCAGTATCCGAATTTCTTGATATTATAAAGATTTATTGTAGCGTTATTAAAGAAGAGGAATTTTTATACGATGCATACAGAGCATTTTTAAAATATTTATATACCGATGAGATTGATCTAGATCAAGATCATATGGCAGGTAAGTATTTCGTTATATGTCTAACAATGTTTTATAATGTATTTTAAAAGTTATATTCAGTTTTTTTGCGTTTAAGAACTATTGAAAATAGCGATCGCATATTCGGAAAATGAACTGAGAAAACGTTGCATACTAAACATACAGGAAAGCGTTACAGTTAAAAGAGCGTTACTCGTCTACAATATAGCTATTGAATATAATGAACCGGTAAATATCGTAATTTTTTTTCTTTTAGAATTTCTAGCACTATTAATTTTAACATAATTCTAGGAATTAGAAGAATACTGTTTCAAGTACGCACTAAATCACATGTCTGCTGTAGTACTTACAGAAAGTTTTACTAAATTAAACGAGCATATGATGAAATCGTTTATAATTAAAGTTGCTCAAGCTGGTGCTTTTAGAACATAGTTTGTGGTATTTATTATATCATAAAACTGCATAACGTGAATTGCGTGATGTTTATTCACGCTGGATTGAAAAAATTGGTTCTTCAATTGTGATAATAAAATAATTCTGGTGAGCAATTTCACTTCAGGATATTTGGTTCGAGTTTATTTTATTTGTATATATTTTTCACGTATCAAAGAATTTTTCACCGATTGCATTTAGTGTTTGTCCGGAAAGTGGGCATATACCGTAGAAAAAGTAGCTGATAACATTTATAAATTATTAAAAGTATTAACCCTTTGCACTCGGCGATTTTTTGACCAAAGAAGGGTACAAGTTGAAAAATTTTCCGCTATAAAGCTGATGATATTTTTCGAGCAGTAAATAAGGAATCGTATAATAATTGACAAGTAGAATTATTTAATTTCGATACCTTGCACACTGTTACATTATTTTAAATTCGATATATTAATTAATATCGAGCTTCGAAATTTTATCAAATGGCGACTGAAGGGCGCCTCTCGAGTGCAAAGGGTTAAATAGAATAATAGGTTAAAACAGGTTGATGTAATTGTTCGCGTGTAACGTTTATAGTTGGCATTTCATTTTGAACCTGTCTTCCCATTGCATTTCTTTCTTTATTAGTTTATAATTATTATTTCAAACCAAGCCAACGAATAATTTTAAATTCCCGTTGGATTCGAAGATGAAATTAATTATATTCCTTTTTTGTTACCAATCATTGTAACGTAAATTTCCAGTAATGTACGTTAATCTAACAATGCACAATTAAAAGCAGTGTGCCTTTGTACATTGAATGTATCATCGTCTTTCTTCTGCTTCTTCTTTTTCTTCTTCTTCTTCTTCTTCTTCTTCTTCTTCTTCTTCTTCTTCTTCTTCTCCTTCCTTTTTTCTACGACTTTTTTATTTCGCAAAGGGATGTATGGTCAATAGAACTTACTATACTATCGTTCGCACATTATTTTTATTATGATATTCTCAATATATACAAGCAGTAATTTTTTGTTGTTCGTATAATATATACGTAACTATTGAATAATAACAATAACGATAACGATAATGGTAATGAGGATAATGCCTATGATGATGATAGTGATAATGATAATATCGGTGACGCTGAGGATGTAGACAACGACGATGATGACGATGATAATAATGACGATGGTGATAAAGAGGACGACGATAATAACAACAATTAATAACCAATGATTACTAATTAATAACCAAAGTAATAAATAATCAATAATCAATAATAGTTTTGATGAATAATCATTATGCTTTATATTTATATATTTATACGTATAGATAATACTAGGTAGTCGATTTGCCGTATGGTAAGTTGTTAGGTGTTTTTAGTTTGCACTACCCTTTGCGTCCGCGTTGACCGGTGTATTCTTCGGTTTCATATCGACTCGTAATTTTGACGAAATAGTATCAAAAACATTCCAAAAAGAAAAAAAGAAAAGGAAAAAAAAGATAGAAAGAAAAGAGAAAATAAAGAAAGAAAACAGGATCAATTTGCTATTGATTTTGATGGATGAAACGTTCGGGTTTAGATCTACTGTACCGTTGTAAAATGCGTATCTCAATATCGCAATGGAAATTCGCGATAGTTGGAGCGACTCGTATATTCCGCGATGTGCCTAAAGTTACACTTAATCTTAGCCGAGTGAAAGAATTTCGTTGGTAAAATTGGAGAGGAAGCGGACATACGGAGTGGAAGGAATGCTGGTCGAGGGGAAAAAGACCGGGAGAATGCATCGGGCAAACGCAGCTCTCAGCCGATTGCGTGAACGATCGTTATCCAATACGACGATTAACGAGGAGACACGTGGATGTGGCTAGAAAATGTCGTATCGAATTCGATCAGCTACTCGGCTACGGTAATTACTTAGTTTTTCTTCTTTTTTTTTTCCTTTTTCTTTTTTTTTTTTTTCTTCTTTTTTTTTCTTTCGGTAGTTAATTAGAGCGTATTTAGGCCTGCGGGCTACTTTTCCAGCGACTCGCTGTGAATCCCATCGACAGAAGTAAGATTTCTTTCGATTCGATAAAGAAAGAAAGGAAAAGTAAGGATCTTTCCGCTAAAATAGTCTTTCCGTTGTTTTCCTCGATTGCCGTCGGTCCTCCTCTTTCGTGAGTCGCGCCGATAACTGCTATTCCTTCTGCCCGACTTGCGTAGAACGGCCGTAGAACCGGAAACGCGGGAATTCTTTGCCTCCATATTGCCTTGCATCGAAGGTAGCCGTATACGCACGCACGGTACGAACAGGCGATTCGCCTATTCCAATCGTCGTCGTTTACTCTTCACCGAGGTATATACACGTACGTTAGGGCGTATGATATTTACACGAGTTTATTGCCAGCTGAGGATCGTCTCGTCCCGTTTCTCCTTGGCGTTTACTCCGCAGCACGGAGGACCGGCGGTGTTGGTCGCGTTGCGATTATTATACATTAAATTACATACATAGAGTCAGAGTTAGTTGCGCGAGGACTCGAATCGTTATCGCGACAACAGGACATCTCAAGCGTCCTCTCGTTGCATCGCGTTCTTTACGAATTCAACGAACGAGAAAAGCGTGTCCGATGGCGATTCGTTTCGTGCTGCTTCGCTTCGCACCCCGGCTCGAATTCACCGGCGACGCCTGGCGCCGCGGCGGTAGCTCGTTTAGAGTCCCTCGTATAGACTTGTAACAAATCGTTTCTCCCAGCTGCTGCTATTCGCTCGTTTCGCTACCTCTCGAATACGGCGCGATAGCTTGCAGGTGTATAGGCAAAAGTTGCGAAAGTTGCGAAAGGTGTGTGTACGTGTGTGTGTGTGCGCGTGCGCGCGCGCGATCGCGAGCAGAGGTTACGTGCCCGTGAACGAATCGTGTCCCCGAACTCGTCCGACTCTCTGTTTCTCGTCCGTTTCGTCCCCGCGATTCGTCTCTTTTCTTCGGCTCTTTCCCAAAGCGTTCTAACGAGTTTCATCTAACGCGGGTCGGTGGCAGGGTTAGGGTCGTATCGGAAGAAATTTCCAGATGGAACATTTACAGCAACGCGTACCTACGCTGTTCTTCTTCGGCTTCCCTTCGTTATTGTCAATGATAAGGACAAACGTGTCTCTCGTTATCGAGGCGAGGTTTCCCTTCCGCTCGTTCGGGTACTTTCCGTTGGCGACTGGAGAACGAGGAAATGCGAGGAACCGAGAGATGAAAACGGAGGCGCGAGTTTGAAACACGCGAGAGGCGTCTTCTGTCGGATGATCGGTTCCTCCGAGTCGACGGAGTGTCGTTTTCGAGCACGTTCTCGAGGCTCGTCCTATCGGACGGCTAG